TTAGAAAATATTTTATTTGCCTTTTTTTTTTTTTTTTTTTTTTTTTTTTTTTTTTTGTGGAACTGGGAATTGAACTCAGGCCTTTTTCTACTGAGCCATCTCCCCGGCCCCCATTATTTGCCATTTTGAGATGGGTATTTCTGTGCAGTCTAAGCTGGCCTTGAAATTGCAGCAGTCCTCCCACCTCAGCCTCTTGAGTGCTGGAATTATAGGAGTGCACCACCATGCCAGGTGAGAACATGTTTCTGACACATTTTCTTAGCTTTGATGAATTTATATTAAACATTTTTAACCTTTGGTAATTGTTGAGTATAAACTCTTAAGGGTTTTTATAAATGAGTATATTCTTTGAACTAATATTATTTTCTGATTTACAAAAAATACTCAAAATATTTTTAAACCATAAACCAATCATTTAAAAGTTAGAAATATTTTTCTCTATTTATAAAGATATTACATACCTGTAAAAGAAAATTCACTACTTGTAAAAAAAAAAAGCATAAAGAGGCAAATTACCCTTTAAAATCCAGCCATCCAGAAATAGTTATTTAGGGCTGGTAAGATGGCTTAGTGGTCTAAAGCACCTACTTAGAACAAGCTTAGCAAAGCACAGGGTCCGTGGTTCAATCCCCCAGCACCACATGCCAGCCAGCCCCGCCCCCTGGTGGGCTGAGGTGGCCACACACACACACACACACACACACATAAATAAATAAATTAAAAAAAAAAAGTTATTTAGCATTTTATTGTAGAGTATATTTTTACCGTTATAAACTTGCATATGCATAACTTTATTGTATTTTTTTAGCATTCTCTCTCTCTGTGTCTTTCTGTCTCTCTGTCTCTGTCTTTCTTTCTCTCTCTTTTTCATGTATTTGGTTGTTACAAAGTCTTACTACACAGCTGTGACTTGGGTGGTCCGCCTGCTTTCAGCTTCCCCAGTGCTGGGATTACAGGCGTGTGCCATATGTTGGACTCTGGCCAGCTCAACCTGCCGTTGGGGCAGGGGCAGCGCGGTGTGTGGTGCCAGGGATTGAACTGTGGGTTGTAAACTTGCCTAAGCAGGCGTTTTGGTCCCGTTGAGCTATCTCACCGGCTCCAAGTATGAATTTTTCAAATAACCCTCTATTAAATGACATTTAGGTTGTTACTAGTTTTTTAATATTATGAACTGTAGTGGTGACTAATAATTCTCTGTTTAGTGTGCATACATTCCTGAGAGTAGAACTGAAGAGTATATTTATTAACGAGTTATTTTAAACTAAGATAAGGTAATCTATGATTTTAGATTTACTAGATAAAAATACATGATTCTCTTTAGATGATCAGTTTCTATGAGAGGATCTAAAATATGCAGTCTGTTATTTGTGTCTACCTGCAAGTAATACAGATTCTTGGTTACATATAGTATAGGTAAAACAGAATGAAAGGAAAAAAACCCCTTTGGAGATGGGTTTGAAGAGAAACAGCCTTGAACTTTGAAGGTACGTACATCTTTTCTAGTTTTTCTCTCTGAGAGCAGACTTTCCTACTGTGTCATCCCTAAATTTTGGCCAGCAGTTCAGATACCTTTAGTGAGTTAGATGATTCTATTTTTAGACAGCTATTGTTTGTTAGCAAAGTTTATGCTCCTATTAAGCTGGAATATATGCTTCCTGATTCCCACCTGTTACTGCCGTGTCCGATCACAATACCTAAGTCTCAGGCCTCTTCCACATAACATTTTTGCCAACTACTTGAAGATAGTTATGAAATCTTGATTTTTCCCTTCTCTCTTCCAAGTTAGGCAGCGCTCCCAGCCCTGCTATGTTGGTGTCATATGTTACGATTTCCATTTCTTTGCTCAGCTTGAATTTTATTGCTCGTGTAGTTTGGTAGTGCAGAGTTAATTGAAGTCATCTCTTTACCTGCTAGGAGTATTGTACTTGGTAAATGGGTGCTCCTGCTGTTCTACTCTGATGCATACTGAGCTGAGAAGCCTAGAACCTTCCTCCACTCCCTAGTTGCCTAGTAGAGTAAACTAAATGCATAACTTTGTGTTTCTCTTCAGTAATCTTGTTTGAATTAGCCATTGTTCCAGCTGCAGTATATCTTTGTCATAGGTCACAAAGTTTTTTTTTTTTTTTTTTTCCACTACTCCCAATTTTGTATAATCTGTACATTTGATTAGCTATGTCCTCTAGTCTTTCATCTGAGTTACTGGCTTAGTGTTTAGGACGATGTTTGTACCCCTGTGTGGCATTCCGCTTAAGGCTATCCTTTTACTGAGGATCATTCTTTGTCTCCACCACTTGTAGTTTTCTAAATTGACTGTCTTTTCCCTTGTGGAAATTGAAGTAGCTTTTGCTTCTGTTTTTCTAGCACCACGCTTCTTTAACCAATGTTTAGGAAGGCGGGTGTTCCACCCACAAGCCTAGGTTGACATTTAACTACCTGTGAAATGGAGACAATAATAATACTAATTTCATGAGGTTATCAAGATGAAATTAGTTCATATAATTAAATTATTACAGCAGGGCCTGCACATAATGTTATGTAAGTGTTCTGTTATGCTCAAATCATCTCTGAGTTTCACAGTCAGCTCTCAAATGTTTTGGAATTCCAAGGCTAATTTGTCTTATTCTGCAAGTCTGAACTGTTTACAAGTGGCTGTCATCTTTTGTCCTTGTCTTCAGTTTTGGGGCTTCAGAGCTCTTTAATATTTTGTCTATTAATGGAGTTGCTTGAGTATCGTCTTCACATTAGTTTAGATTTCCAGATATTAGCATGCAAAATTGTCAGAAAGAAGGGGGAAAATATTAGAAGAAATTAAAAAGCAAAAACCAACAAAAGCATTAACTGCTCCTTTTCCAACAAAAGCATTAACTGCTCCTTTTGATAGACCAGCAGAAATCAGCAGTACAATTATCTAAGACATCCTGCATACATACATAAATATGTCTTTCCCTCCCTACCTCCCTCTCCTGTCCTTCTCCTCATCCCAGTTTTTCCTTTGTTTCCTTCCCTTTCACAGTATCTCTTGTATCTTTCAGATTTTATTTATTCTTTCAGGTTGTTACACTAATGAGACAATACGATGTTTGCACATGAAGGTCTGATTTACATCAGTTAAGAGCATGGTCTCTAGTTGTATCCATTTGCCTAAAAAGCCTCAAATTTATCTTTATAGTTGAGTTGTACTCCATTATGTAAAAACACCACATCTTTATCCAGTCCTCAGTTGATGCATTTTGGTTGTTTCCAAGATTTAGCCATGACAAGTTGCATTACTATAAACATAGGTGCACATTTATCGCTGTGGTGTGATGTCTTCAGTTCTTTGAAAAAATACCCAGGAGAGGAATAGCTGGGTTGAATGGGACCCCCCAGTCCTAGCTTTTGAGAAATCTCCATGCTGATTTCAACAGTGATCACACCGGTCTGCACTCTTACCAGCAGTGGAAAAGGGTTAATTTTTCCCCACAGCCCGACCAGCATTTGTTAGTGGATGATTTCTTGATGATAGCCGTTCTTTTTGGGGTGAGATGGAATCTCAGTGTAATTTTAATTTGAGTTTCTCAAATGATGTAGGTTTTTTTTTTTTTTTTTTTTCTTTGTGGTACCACAGATTGAACTCAGGACCTTGCACTTGCTGGGTAAGCGCTTAGTCTACTGAGCTATCTCCCTAGCCCTTTTTTTTAAAATTTAATGGTTGTGAAAATTTTACTACATGAATCATCCATAGTTACTTATTTCCCAGTTTTCAATCTTTTAGGTGATGTCTTTTTTACTGCTCACATTTTGTTGAGTTTCTTTATACTGCAAGCATTTTTAGAAGCTGCCATTGTTTTGTGAAATAAGCTCCAAGCTGAATTCTCCATTCAGAACTCATAACACAGTTTTAAGACCAAAAACTTATTTTTATTGATAGATATGACCATAATATTTGCTTTTTTCCAAAGTTCATGTTCAAGTTGAATGTTGCATTCCTACTAAATGCTTGTTTGGTGCTCAGATTTGCTCTGGATGACATATTGTACCTTTTGTAAATGTCCTATTACGCTACGAGTTCCTGTGCAGACTGCACTGTTTCATTATGATGCTTCTTAAGTGGTACATATTTAACTTAGTATGGGAGGGGGGAGAATTGAAGGAATGCTGGCTGGGTCTTCTATCAAGTTTTGTTATTTCTTCCTCTAGTAATATTTTTTTCAGGCCTGCTCCTTCATCTGGAGCCTGTAACTGTGGGTTAGTGTCTAACCATCCGTTACCTAGATAAACATGGCAAGGGCATACTTCAGATGACTACTTTCTGTCTAGCTTAAAATTTTGTTTCTTTCACAAGAAGAAGCTTAGTTTTAGCTGGGTATAGTGGCTCATGTCTATAATTCTAGGCCTGGGAAGCTGAGGCAGGAGGATCTCAAGTTTTAGCCTGTCCTGAGCAACTTAGCAATTTGGTGGGACCCTGCCTCAAAGGAAAAAAAGTGATAATAATAAGGGCTGGGATTGTAGCTCAGTACAAAGGATCTGGCTTCAATCTACAGTCTTGAAAACAAGCAAAAAAAAAAAAAAAAAACCAAAAAAACAAAACTCATAGAAATCAAGCATTTAAAAAACAAACAAGACTGAGATAACTATTTTAGTCTGATTCATTTTAGAAAGACTTTTCTTCTCCCTGTGCTTTTATAAACATTAATTAATAGAAATTTTAGGAATTCAATCAGATTAGGCTTTTAATTGAATATTTTGAGTGTTTTATGTATAAAATGGGTTTTGAACTTTAGTGTCTTAAAATGGTGTATATTTGTCAAATCTTGCTATATGAAATATCAAATGTCTTTTCATTTCAAAATGATCTAAAGACAGGAGGAGGACATAGACTTGTTCCTTTTAGCACCATCACCCCTTCTCTGTGCTGTGTCCAGAGCACTCATGGAATATAGATTCTTCATAAATGTGGTATAATTCTGTTTTTTATATGTATATATTTTACAGCTTTGTCTATATTTCATTTATTTAAGATCTGGACCTTGGTAGTTGGCTATGTGTTGACTGTTTCATTCAAGTGGAATACAAGTACTGAACGCTACTTGAGAGCAATTTCAATTCCTGTCTGGATTATATTGCTTTTTCATTTAGGTGGGTCACTTCATTTTTTTTTTTTTTTTTTTTTTAAGTCTAGCTTAAGGTTAGCAAAGGTTGACTGTGTATGAAAAAATGAATTCTTTGTAGTATATGTTACATTTAAAATTCTTTAAAATAATCCTTTTAAAAAAGTTAGGCTTTCACTTTTCATCTGTCTTTAGTGAAAATATGCCTTAAAATGTCTATCTTTTAATTATATTATGTGTTTATAAAATAAAATCCTTTAATGCTAAATCTTTCTTAAAAAATGGAGCACACTGGACTGTTTGCTGAATGGCATACATATGAGGAGACAGATAGGCAGTCGGGGTGACGGGGTGTGGCCTGATGTGTCAGGTAGTTAAGGGACTAGAGAAGGTATTTGCTATGGATAAGAGGAAGAAATTAGGGGCCCGGGAGATAGCTCAGCAGCATAAGTGTCTGCCTGGCAAGTGCAAGGTCCAGAGTTTGATCTCCGGTGCTACAAAAAAAGGAGAAGGAGGAGAAGAAGTTGGTACAATAGGGCAAAGAAGAGTTGAGATAAGGATATAGACTATGAAGCTTATTTCTAGCATGTGAAAACCTGTTTTGTGAAAGAGTGCTTTAAACTCTGTAATCATGATGGGGAGATGTCAGAGCTGTGTTTTCCTCGAGACAGATCTCTGCTTAAGACAGGGGTTATCGGAGTCCTTGCTGCCCAGAATAATGACTTCCCTGGTATATGAAACCATCCACTGTTAACTGGTTGGTTGCCAGAACACTGTGTGGCTTTTCAACATGATAACATAGGAGGAACTCTTCTTTCTAAGTTGATGGAAAAATAGGGAATTTGAATTTAAAACTAAAATCCAGTAATAGAGCAGTAGAGCCTAAAGTAGTTTATAGAGCTACTTATTATAAATGAAAAATAATTCATTAAAAATGACTGCTTAGAGTTGCATTGAACAAAGCATCACTCTTTATTGAGTTGGTGTGCTAGAGTTTTATCTGCAAGATCTCATGGGACTCATTTTGAATTTAGGAAAGACAGAGGCATGAGATAGGCAGGTATGTCCACAAAGCTCTAGGCAGACTGAGAAAAATTCATATGGTTAGGATAGAGACCTTAATCCTTGATGACTGTGTAACTTTAATTGGTGCTGCATGCTGAGGAGCATACTTTGAAGCTTTTGCTGTGTGCTCATGGGTCATTGGGTCCTTTCTGTAGAGACTGATCACTCCCCATGGTGTACTCAGAAAACCAAGTCAAGCTCCATGACTTTCAGATCCCTGCCTGATTCTGCACATTCTGGGGTCTAATGGGCAGTTTGGGCTTGGAATAGCCTTAAACTTGGCATATGCTTTAGCTCAGGACTGGATTCCATTACAGGATGAACAGGCTGGCATCTACCTGATCTTCTAGAATGTGGGCTGAAAGCAAGGATCAGTGTGTATCAAGAATATCTGAATGGGGAGCCCTGGGACATAGCTCACTGGTAGAGTGCTTGCCTAGCATGCACAAAGCTCCGAGTTCAGTTTTAAGCAGCCATCTACCCCAACCCACTCTCAAATTGAGATCTCTTCAATGGCATTTTCAAAATTTTTTTCTCTGTAGTAATCTTATACTTAGTATGTATACCAAATTGTTCTGTCAGTCTAATAAACTAAGTCTTAAAAAAAAACAAGTGCTAGGTTTTCATTTCACTAAAAATGTTAATTCTTAATGATTTTCAGCATCCCTGGCTGGCTCATGGAGGATTCCAGTATTCCTGGTTATTGTTTTCCTGATGTCGGTGGGCACCCTCTATGAAAAGCAGAATGAAAAAGAGTCTGCTGGTAAGAAATAGAAATATTCTATGAGTATTTTTCTTAGAAATATTTTGGAGAATGACTATAAAAAGTGTTATGAAATATAGCTTTGAATCTGTCTAATAACCTGTAGTTTCTGAAGAGAAAATAAATTTATGTAAAATATGTTATGCTTTTAGACTTTTTTATTGAGGTGTAATTGATAGTTTTGAGTTATACTGTTATAGGAGATTACTGTTTCCATCAACCATTCTAAATGGCATTTTGTACATTCATAATGTCATGCAACGGTCACCTCAGATCCATGACATTTCAATCAACCCAAGCCAGGCGTGGTGGTGCATGCCTGTAATGACAGTGTTTTAGAGGGGCCAGGGAGGTGGTTCAGAATAAGTGCTTCCCTGGCAAGCGCAAGGGCCTGAGTTCAATCCCCAGTTCCGCAAAAAAAAAAAAAAAAAAAAAAAAGAGCTCCACAGTGCTTAGGAGGCTGAGGCAGGAGGAGCGAAAGTTTAAGCCCAGCTTGGACAGTTTATTTATTTATTTATTTTTTGCAGTACCAGGGATTGAACTCAGGACCTTGAGCTTGCCAAGCAGGCACTTATGCTGCTGAGCTATATCCCTGGCCCCATTGGGCAATTTATTGAGGCTGTGTCCAGTATATAAAATAAAAGGAAGGGGGTAGAGGTGAAACTCCGAGCAAAGGAAAAAAAATCACCCCAATAGGACACTCTGTGTGTTAGTACTTTATTCATTTTTATGGGTGCATGGATAATATCCCTAACCACATTTTGTTTATCCATTCTCAGTTGATGAATGGGTCACTTCTACCTTTGGGCTGTTGTGAGTAGTGCTGCTGTGAACATTCTTAGGAGGATTTGAATACCGTCTTTCCTTTTCTCCCTTACCCCCTTCTCTTTCTCTTCCTTCCCTCCCCTCTCCCATCTCTCTTTGTTCTTTCCCCCTGCCTCTCTCCTCCTTTTCTCTCCCTCTCATCCCCTGTTCTTCCTCCCCTTCTACCTCCCTCCCCTCTGTCCCTTCCTCCCCTCCCTCCCCCCCTCGCTCCCCTCCCTCCCTCCTTTTTTTTCTTTTCAACCAGAACATTTTTCTTGAGTAGTAGGTGAAGTTCTCAAGATAACAGATGCTGCTATGGCTGCGCTTTTGGGTTTGCTCCTTCATGGATACCACTTCTGAATCTGCAGTATCCAAATTTCAGGTGCCGCTTCTGCCCGACAGTATTTGGTAATTTCGCCTTCGCACTCCAGTCATGCTTTCTCTTGTGCTTGCCAGGGTAGCCCCATTTTGTACAGGCCAGCATCTGAAGGTGGGAGGCCTCCGAGCCAGTGGTGGCGCAGTGTGTGCATCTCTGAGGACACTTTCCAAATGATGACACTCGCTTTGTCGTCTCAGTTCTGCTACGGAGACCAAAGAGTTTGCATAGCCATTTTTCTTTGTTTTTTTTTTTTTTTTTTTTTTTTTTTTTTGCGGAACCTGCCCTTGAATTTGAAGTGATCTTTCTGTGTCAG